TAGATACGTTACATATAGTCATCTAGATAGGGCCTGATGAAACTCATTGTAGGGTGCTGAAGCAGTTGCAGAATTGTTAGCAACTACAGGTTGAACCTTTCTAGTCTAACACCCTCAGGACCTGACCGGCTCCAAACCAGAGAATTTTCCAGATCGTGGGAGATCAATGTTGTTTAGCAGCATTACCAACACTTCGACTGCTACTGGACTCGTAGAAGACATTCAGGCTTCGTCTTCACTGCGAGTTCTTCTGCAGAAAATATCTCATTAGCATATTTTCTGCCATTTCTTTTTGAGCAAGGGGTTTTGGGCAAAAAGAAGCAGTGTGGACTTTTTTTTCCCGTGCAAAAACCCTGTTTTGCACAAGATCCTTATGCCTGAATAGTCCTCTAGGAAGTGTGTCAGCATGTTGCTGTTCCCCCAGCCAGGTAAGAGGGAGGAGAGCAGCAGCACACAGCCATTTCTGTGCTCCATTTCTGGCTACCTCGGGGCTTTCCCCCCTCACCTCCTGTAGGAAGCTGGCACTGGTACTCTAATCTTTCAAGGAGCTGTGAGGCTGTGTTGCCAGTGTGGGCTCCCTGCTGCGAGGGGAGGAATAGGGACTGAGCTCAAACTTCAAAAGAATCATATCTGGCTTCCTTAGTGAGCCATATTTGCTCGCAAGCCACAGGTTGCTGACCTCTGTGCTAAATTATCTGTTCCACCCTAGAAGAGGTGGGGTTGAGGACTAGACTCCCTCAGCCAGCCCTTCAGTGCTGTCCTACCCTGCTGCCTGGGGCTCCAGCAGCAATTTAGAGGGCCTGGTGCTGCAGCAGCTGGGAGCTCTGAACCCTTATAAATCACCAGGCCCTGGGGCAACAGCTCCTTTTTACCTCTTCACCCCTCGTTCCACCTTATATTTTGTTTCGGCACTCTGAGAATATTTCCCAGACCTGAAGAAGAGCTCTGGGTAAGTTCAAACACTTTCCTCTCTCATCCGTAGAAGTTGGTTCAGTAAAAGATACTTTACCACCCACCTCGTCTCTGTAATATCTGGGACTAACATAGTTACAACAACAGTGCATGCAGCAAGGAATGGTCTAGGTTTATCTGGTCCTGCCTTAGCACAAGAGGTTGGACAGGACAACTTCTTACGGTCCCTTTCAGTTCTACTTTTGCTTGATTTTGAACTTTCATTTTTTTCTTTTACTAACATATAAACTTTACAATTTTGAATTACATCACAAATCTGTCAGATTTTAGCATCTCCAGTTATATCTTGTCCATATTGGAAACATAAATTGTATGTTAGTGTATAAAGGGATCTTATCACCTTAAAATATACAATTAAACAAAGATTTAAGACCTTTCACTTCTTACACCTGCCCTTGAGTCATCCTGCCAATTTTTGTTTTTTTTTCATTTGCATCTTACTATTTTAACACGTTTTCCTTTCCTGTGCTGAGCCTTCTCTGCAGGTAAACTGCCTCCTATACTACCTACTTTATAACATTATGCCTCAGTCTCTCCTCCTGGGAACACTTACCATGACATCCTTTGCCTGTTGTCTTAGCTCAGCCTTGGATGTTATCTGTGAAGTAAGTGATGTACCTGAAAGGCAGGAAGTGTTGGCTTCCAGCTCTGAGTAGCACTTTGAGCAAGGAAGGATGGGCTGACAGACAAGCAGGTACATTACACATATAGCCTGTATTGTTTGATCTGTGCTGTCACTTTAATCATTCAGTGGGTAATAGAACCCTCTCTATAAACTAGACAAATGTGACACATTCCATGAATCTGCTAGTGTAACAAAGTTAATAACTTGTAAGAACTAGGAAATTAATATAATTATTAAATTCATATAATTTACTGATAACTTGCTATGTATTCTTTAAACAATAAAATCTAGTAAATATAGTTGGCCATTTTGACTTGCTTACAGCCAATCTGAATATGGCCTAGTACTGAACATTTTGACAATAGATGAAAGCTCACTGTCTACTAAATCAGTCTTGCATTACTCATATCTTAAGTGATTTATTTATTGTTGTATTCGACTTAAATGCAAATACTTTTAATATAGATATTTGCAGATAAAATGATGTTTAATATGATGGCTTATTTTATGCAATCTTTGTTCACTATCCAAACGTGGACTCTAAGCAATCAGAAAAAATGTTTCCTTCATCATGAACTGAATTAGAGAATGTGTCTCTTGAAAATAAAAGCACAGTTGGTCTGCCAGATTACTTTGCTTTATGAACACACATTAAAGTTTTATTTTGGTATCTGCAGTTCTGTTTGCACAACAAAACTTTATTGCAATTCATATGAAGTAGCAGACTGAGAAAAAGAAAATATTTATGAAATGGCTGCAGAGAGAGTCTATCAATGCACCATCATTCCTGTGTATTCTTTCCCAAACTAAAATAATGTATTCATAATTTAATTCATAATGTAAAATACTGTCAGTATTAACATCATGTGATCTTCAAGTGCTGTTATAATGGTAGCACTTTGACTAGTTTTTATCTCTGGGAGGAAATCCCCAGTAACTGCAAGAAATCAGTCCCTGTAATAGACATCCACCTGATTTTGATATTTCATCCCTGCTCAGTTTTACAAAAGAATGCAAAATAGACATCCCACTTCACCTTATCTACATATACTTGCCAGTGAAAAACATGGACTTTTGCATCATTATGTAAGACAGTGTTTCCCAATTTTATTTGGCCATGGAACCCTTTTAAACTTGAAAGAATTTTGCAGAACCCCTAATAACAGTCTAATATAGCCGGTCCCCGACTTACGAACGAGTTACGTACCAAACACTAGATCGTAATTTGATCTATTCATAAGTCGGATTACATTCACTTATGTATGGCTGTGCTGTTCATAAGGGCGGTTTTCATTCGTAACTCGGGGAGCAGCTGTATAGGAGGTTGGTCGTAAATACAAACGGTTGTAAGTCGACGCGTTCGTAACTCGGGGACTGGCTGTATACGGAGCTGAAAAAGTAGACCACAAATAAGTAAGGATAATAATAACCAAATGCTAAACAAGGTCATGAGATCAACATTTAGTTTAATTGCACATATTTAAAAACAAAAATCACACACTATTAATTTTTTTTAAATTATAAAATGTTATTGTAATGGAATGTTCTTGCTGAACCCTTATTTTTACTTTGTGGAGCCCTGGGGTTCCACGGAACACCATTTGGGAAACATTGATGTAAGGGATCAAAATTAATCATATTAAAAGCAGACAGAAATAATCCCAAAGGCAATGCAACATATTTATTTTCAAGTTGTTTTTGTCTTCCACGTTTTTAGAATTGTTTGTATAGTTTTATTTGGCAGATCTTTTTTTTTTAAATTATGTAACCTAAGAGAATTCGTAATTAGTTGTAAACAAGATGTTCTGAGAGAAGGTGTTTTGCTTCCTGAATTGTTAATGTATGTGCAGCCATCTGTTTGTCCATATGTGTGTTTTCTTTCCCTTCCTTCGCTGTAGCCAACACATGTTATAAGCCAAGGCAACAAGAAAGGGGACTGAACTTGTTATTACTTTACTTTTGAAACACTTCAGAAAACTCCTTCATGTGATGTCTTTGGTCCTGCAGCACAGACACTGTTTGCATAAATCTTTTTTTTTTGTTGGAACTCTGCGAAAGCAACTCCTCTAGTGGGAGCATTAATAATGTCTTCCAGCAATTTAACTACCATATCTTCTCACTCTTCTTAGAGTTCTAGAGAAGAGTGTGCAAAAAACAATGGCAGCCAATAGAGTTAAACACTCCTGTTGTTGACTCTGTTAGTGGTGCACCGGTAATTTGGAACAGTGGGATATTTTAAGAAAAAAAATGTATGCAGTAAATTACTGTGCCGCAAGCTGGGATGTTACTCTACAATACACCAGCTTGCCACACAGTACCATCTCATGTGGAGACAGCTACAGCACAGTCAAAGTCCTGGAATGTGGATTAGCATGGCATCCTGTCCTTTGAAATAGTGGTGTGTTTGTTTTCACCAATAATGTAGTAGTGACTGGACAGCTAGCATATAGTGAATGCCAGTGTCAATGAGGTCAGAACAGAGGCTAAAATAAGGAAAGCACAAGTTAAAAATTACTTAAACATGCTAGATGTCTTCATGTCACCAGTGTGTGATGAAATACAGCCTAGAATAATCAAGGAACTGAATAAGAAGATATCTGAGCCATTAACAATTATCTTTGAAAAGTCATAAAAATGAGAGATTCATAAAGAATGGAAAAGGGCAAATATAGTGCCTGTTTATAAAAAAGGGGAATAAGAACAACCTAGGGAATTGCAGACCAGTCAGCTTAGCTTCTGCATGCGGCGAGATAGTAGACCAAATAATTAAGCAATCAATTTGCAAACACCTAGAGGAGAATAAGGTGATAAGTAACAGTTAGCACTGTTAGATTTGTCAAGAACAAATCATGTCAAATGTACCTAATAGTTTTCTTTGACAAGGTAACAAACCTTTGGGAAAAGGGGAGGTGGTGGATATGATATATCTTGACTTAAGGCTTTTTGATACAGTCTCTTATGACCTTCTCATAAATAAACTATGGAAATACAACCTACTTGGAGCTACTATAAGGTGGACACCTAAATGGTTGGAAAACCACTCCCAAGAGAGTAGTCAATGATTCACAGTTAAGATGGATGGGCATAATGAGTTGGATCTCACAGGGATCATTTTTGGGTCTAGTTCTGTTCAGTATCTTTATCAATTATTTACATTATGGCATACAAAGTACATTTATAAAGTTTGTGAATGATATGAAGCTAGAAGAGTTTTCAGGTTCTCAGGATAGGATTACAATTCAAAATGATCTGGACAAACCGGAAAAATGGTTTGAAGTAAATAGGATGACATTCAATAAGGAGCAATGCAAAGTGCTCCACTTAGGAAGGAACAATCAAGTTGTACACATACAAATTGGAAATGGCTGCCTATAAAGGAGTACCTTAGAAAGGGATCTGGAGGTCATAGTGGATAAAAAGCTAACATATGAGTTTGTAGTGTAACACTGTTGCAAAATAAAAGCAAATATAATTCTAGGATGTATTAGCTCGAGTATTGTATGCAGGACATGAGAAGTAACTTTTCCTTCCTACTATGGACTGATTAGACCTCAGCCAGAGTATTGTGTTCAGTTCTGGGCACCACATTTCAGGAAAGACATGGAAAAATTGGAGAAATCTCAGATAGGAGCAACAAAATTATTAGAGGTGTAAAAAACGTGAGAGAAGATTGAAAAAATGGTTTTGCTTCCTTTGTAGAAGAGAAGAATGAGAGGAAACATTACAGTTTTCAGATATATAAAAAGTTGTCGCAAGGATGAGGGAGAAAAATAGTTCTTCTTAACCTCTGCAGATAGGATAAGTGGGCTTAAATTTCAAGAAGAATGGTTTAGGTTGGACATTAGGAAAAATGTCCTGTCAGAGTGGTTAAGCCCTGGAATAAATTGCTGAGAGAGGCTCTGGAATCTCCATCATTGGGAGTTTTAAGAACAGCTTGGACAAACACCTGTCAGGGATGGTCTAGATTAGTGGTGGGTAACCTGTGGCCCATCAGGGTTCTAAGTGTGGCTCATGAGACATTTTGTTTGCCATTACCCATGCAAAGGGTTGCCAATTCTGCTGGCTTTTGTCTGCATAGTATTTTTCTCCTACCACTATTAATGAAGTGGCATGTACTCAAAGCAAGGCCACGTAAAGTGAGGTGCGTGCTGGTTGCACACAACATTGTGAGACCCATGCATTCCCTCTGTATCCAATCGAAGTGCTATGGTTCAATCAGCACACCTACAAATTCTAGGTACATAAGCGCAGTTAGCAAAACTACACCATCCTGGGAGAACATCTTAGTTACAACTATCTTGCAACTGAGATGAAGGATGGCCACGCATGCACCCCCTCACTTGCCTAGGTTGCCCATTGCTAGATCTAGATAATACTTAGTCCTACTGTGAGTGCAAGGGGACTGGACTACATGACTTCTCAAGGTCCCTTTTTGTCCTATGATTCTATGTTAAGCCATACTCATGGACTTTCACTGTACTGTAGCAGTATCCACATGGAACGTTACAGTGCACCAATTTGCCAGGCAGTAGATTGATACTATTGATTGCTGCATAGTAACTTGCTGAGTGGGGAGAGTTTCAGTTTATTACAGTGGGGCTAATTCTACAGTATCCTGTACCTAGCATAAAGTATGTGTAAAAAGCTTCCAGTTTGGTTAGATAAGATTTTGTGTTTACTCTGTACAGGTTTAAATAACTTCACAACATTGAGGATAGTGGAGAGTCAGGTCTACTATTTTGATTTCTTACTTTCCATCAGTGTATGCAGTGATATGCATGGAATTTGCTCATGGATTCCTTAGTAGGCAGTATTCAAACTTCTTATGGAGGATTATGTATGTTCTTGTGAGGCTGTGAAATTTTAAAAGCAAAGCTTTTCAAGTATAGCAATATCTCTGAATTCAAATACTTTTAATCTTTTCTTTTCCACTTCCATATGTATTTCTGAAATTTGTCTGTGTTGTTTTTTTAAGGTCGCACTGAATATTTTGTAGATGACCTGTGTTTGCTGCAGTTACTAAAAGGCCTTTGTTTGAAACACCTAGGAAGACTCTTGCAAGCTGAACTGTGTTTCAATCAAGTTATCCAAAGGTAAAAAATAAAATAAAGATACAGTAACCAAATATTTTAGCGTTATATATAAGCAGTTGATTATTAATGTTAGAAACGAAGAAAATCTATTTAGATACGCATAGAACTGACATTTTTAGCAATTAGTAAAATGAAGAAAACATTGGATACTTAATTTCACCAGTAAAAATGGTGGCAGCTTTAAATTTAAGAAGGCTTAATCTTCAAAATCGCTCTATTTCCTTGTATAGGAAGACAAAACTCCAGCCAAGCCAACAGTTAAACTCATTTACATTATTAGCTGAATTTAGCTCACTAAGGGCAAATTCACAAGTGCTAACTGCAAATTCAGTTAGAGTTTCAAATAACAAAAGAACTCAAAAATAGAATACATTTGTGAACTAGAAATAGGCTTTCAAAACAGTCTAATTTCCTTCCACAAAAGTAGGCAGGTTAGGAACCTGCTTTTTCACATGTTCGCCTGTTGGTTCCCTTCATCTTTAGAGTGTACCATTAGCTTAGATAGTCCCTTCACCAAAGAACAGTCTTTTGTGGTACCTGTTAGTCAACATAAGGCACTAATTCTTGTTAGGTGCTTATAGAGTCTACTGTGGTACAAATAATAAGCAGAAGTATGCTAAATTGAACAACAAAGCAGATCATCTTCTATATGAGTTACTTCATTACCTTAGCTAAAAGCCTTCAGTATGAAATTCATCCATATATGCAGGGTGCACATGACGACTTTTATTCTATTTAAACTGTATTGTAATTCACTTCAACCCTTGTATGGGATGAATGTAGGCTCTGTGTTTGTCCTGAATAGACCAGCATAGGGAAGGCAGTTGAAGATAGCACAGGGAATAGCTACAAAGGTTCCTCTTATTCAGATCTAATGTCCAAGTGCCCCACAACCTCAAAGGCTGAAACTATAGAGAGGCTACACTGTAACCCAGGGCTTATTTACTACTTGCGGAGATGACTCAGTTCTGTCTCTTCAGAAAACTCCTGGCATATCCTGCATAAAATATAATTCCTCAAGAAGGGTGTGTATCATGGAGAGAATTCACCCAAAAAGAGTTTTATTATGCTGTAGAAGTGCAGTTTTGAAAACCCACATCAGGAGGGCCAACAGCTGCTGTGAGCCCCAAAGCAAGCAAGGTCTGGGGGGTAGCTCTGTGCCCCTATAAGGGTCAGGGTCTTGGGTGGAAGGTGTGGGGCTGCGCCAGCCAGCCCTCCATGTCATCTGGATTGCCACACTTCCCTCCTCCCCCAGCCCTCACAGCTGCATGAAGTGACAGAGTGGTGCTCTGATGGCCATTTAGAGGGGACTGAGCAACCCAGACCCCTTAAAATCACCAGGCTCTGGGGCAATTGCCTCTTTGTTACCCCCTGTCAGCAGGTCTGATGCACATGTACTTGCAGAAATGGAAAAAATCTTTGTTCAGTTCTAATTAATAAAGACCAAAGATCAAATGATAAATCAAAAATTATTATATTTAGTAACATTTTTGTTGGAAGAAAGAATAAATTAGGTCTGCTTCTAATATCTCTGCCACCTTTCTCCATCCCGTCTGACCTTCTGCTACCATATCTCAGAATACAGACAGATGTAGTGAGACATTTTGTAAGGCACATTAGAATAGTCTCTAGGTTATAACTAATTTCAAGGACTGCAAAATTCTCTCTTGGGTACAGTGTCTGTGGCACAGTCAGGATTTTGGGCTAGGACTGGTTGAAAAATGTAAAACGTTTTTTCCTTGGAAAATGGGGTTTTATTTAAATAAACAATTTTCGGCAGGAAAAGATTGATGTTAGTGGAATGATTTGCATTTGCATATACTTGTTCAAGGATTAGAAAGATTTTTGGCTGAATAGGGCCTGTAAGGTTACGTCTAGACTACATGCCTCTGTCGCCAGAGGCATGTAGATTAGGCTACCAGACATAGTAAAATGAAGCGGCGATTTAAATAATCGCCGCTTCATTTAAATTTACATGGCTGCCGCGCTGAGCCGACAAACAGCTGATCAGCTGAGTCCAGTATTGGATTTGTTTCACAATCTCCAAAGCCCTTTGAAGTCTATGAGAAGGCTTCTTTTGCATGCTGTGAGTTTTGGCTAACACCTTATGTATGGTTTGCCATCAATTGTATTAAATTGATGGTTCAGGCCATCATATTGACAAGTACAGGAGTGGGAGTTGTTGGCTCAGCGCAGCAGCTATGTAAATTTAAATGAAGCGGCAATTATTTAAATCGCCGCTTCATTTTCCTATGTCTGGTAGCCTAGTCTACATGCCTCTGGCGACAGAGGCATGTAGTCTAGACGTACCCTTATGCTGATGGGTGTGTTAGCTTAGAACTGTAGTGTCCAACCAGTTCTGATGCAGTAGCCACTATAATGCCCAGCCAGTTCCCCAACGGGAGGACTAGGGGAGAAGCAGAAAGCGGGGGAGGCTGCTGCTGTGTTAGCAGTTCACAGGGCAGGGAAGGATTTGGGAAAGAGGCAAAAAAGCTGATCCCATCTGGCAGCACCTGTAACTTACCCAGCTTTTTCCACGTGTCCTGTGGTGGGCAACGTAGCACAGATCCCTCTTTCCTTTCAGCCAGTAGCTTCAGCACAATGTGGGTCACATGATCCCCCATGTACTTACTTCCTCCCTGATTAGAGGGAGGTGGGGAGGGGATTAGGGAGGACTGAAGTAGAGGCTGGAGCCAGTACCACAGACAACAGCTGCTGCCTGCTGCTCCTCCACTGTGAGGGAGCAAGTGTCTGCCCCACCCTCCAACCCGATCAGCTGAGCTCTCTGCCTGTGCAGGGAGCTCTGAACCTCTGCATGGGGCTTAGAAAAGGGCTGCGCGGGCACGCAGCTTACAGGGAGCCTTGATCCCTACCCAAAGACAGGTGACTCCTGTAGTCCCTCTCCGTGTTCCACTCTAGATATGCTTCTCTTGCTACTCAAGATCTTCTCACCTAAAGAAGTGGGTTTTGCCCACAAAAGCTCATGATGCTACATATACAGTATATTTGTTAGTCTCTAGGGGGCTACAGGACTACTCATTTTTCTCTTGATACTGTAACAGTAGCGATCCCAGCAAAAGCAAAGTACAAAGTGTGAGATTCAACTGTTTGTGAATACAGTTTCCCCTTAAAGTTTTCACTGCAAGTTAAACCACTGCTGTAACACAATGAAGGTCAGTTTCAGGAAACTAGTAAGTTGGATAGCTACCTAATCCCATATGCAATACCTTAGGTATAAAATAAAGACTTCTCTAATCTATAGGAGTGGTTCTCATAATTTATACTGATCTATCTAGTATACACTGAAATTAAGTACAATATATATATTTCAATTGATTTTTTTGTGGTAAAAATAGGCAATTTTTCAATAATACTGTGCTTTTTACATTTAAATATTTTTTGTATTAAGTCTGGTTTTGTAAACAAGTAGTTCTTAAGGTAGGTGAAACATGGAGTATGCAAGGAAAATCAGACTTCCTGGAAGGGTAATCTGGAAAGGCTGAGAACCACTGATCTATAGCATTTCTTAATATTTCCATAAAATAAAATTAGTTTAGTTAAGGGGATGGGGGGAGAGGTCGAATGTACATTTGATTTCCTTTTTTCGTTTATGTTGTTTTGTAAAGATGTAAAAAATAAGTCAAAGCTATGGAAAACGAATTTTGAATTTGTGAAGTCATAGTGATTTTAGTGTGAACATTGATAATGTAAAATACAAGTAATAGCAGCAATTTAAAAAATTATAATAATCTAGAAGGACTGGTTTAAAGCCATTTTACAATTTTCTGTGATTCAGTGAGCTACTTATAGTAATGTGCTCTTATCTGATGCCACACACTTATCTGATCAGAATAATTCAATATATTGGATATCTTAAAAGAGTGTTATGATGATTAATTGATGTGTTTAAGGATCATCTTCATCCGTTATACAAAAGATACATTTATTTTCTTAAACATTTGAATTACCCAAACAATAATGTATCTGATTCCATGGCTCTGTTTCTATCAGCAAGGACTTCTTCTGGGTTTCTTCTCACATGTTGATAACAAGTAACTATCCAGGATTTTTCCATTATTTAGGTTCACTCTTGTGCTCCTTTTGTTTGACTGCTACTTATCTCACAGCAGTAGTGGACACAGTTTTCCTTTGCCGACCTCCCATCAATTAGCAGGGTATAGTCATTTGCACTCTCACAGTATCACTTCCTGGTGTCGATGTGGGTTGTTGCATGATTTGTCATTTCTAGTGCCCCACTATTGTCTACTTCTTTGACCCTATGCTGGCCTATCGGTTTGCCTGGCCCATCAGCAAGGTTACTTTTTAAGGTCAGTTCCCTTCAGAGTAACAATAGAAGTGTAAATGGAAATAAATATATAAACTAATAATTTTTCTACCTCTCTTGGACTACATTGAAGTTCTCTTCTCTTTGCCCTTACTCTTGGGCTCTGCAGTATTCTTCTAGGCTGCTTCTTCCCAGAAGGTTTCCCCACTGCCTACCTTCCTTGGGGACTCCAGCAGCTTCCCTCAGGGATCTTACTACTTCTTATTGGTCATATCTTAAGGCCCTCCACAGGAGCCTGGTCTGTTTCTTGTGGTTCTCTCCGTCCTGCCTTTACCAGACCCTTCATAGAGAAGGTAAACTCTGGTTGCTCCTCTCTCCTTGACTTTCTCCCCAGAATGAGTTCACAGCTTGATTCTTATAATAATTTTGGTCCCTGGCCACTTCTGGGATCTTACTACTTCTTATTGGTCATATCTTAAGGCCCTCCACAGGAGCCTGGTCTGTTTCTTGTGGTTCTCTCCGTCCTGCCTTTACCAGACCCTTCATAGAGAAGGTAAACTCTGGTTGCTCCTCTCTCCTTGACTTTCTCCCCAGAATGAGTTCACAGCTTGATTCTTATAATAATTTTGGTCCCTGGCCACTTCTGCCAGCCCCAGAGCACCAGGAGAGAAAGGAGGGCATGGAGCGCGGCTCCAGTCTCCCCAGCCCAGAGCACCAGGGAAGGAGGAGGGGGTGTGACATGGCTCGAGCCCCAGAGCGCTGGTGAGGGAGGAGGGCATGCAGCTCCAGTCTCCCTGTCCTGGCAGCAACACTCTGCTCCTAGAATGCCTACAGCAGGTATTCTGGGGGTAGAGTGTGGGCGGGGCCATGCCTGGCAATTTGGGAACGCAAGGCCTTCCCCTGCCTAGGCTACTGGTCACACGTGATGCCAGAGTCCATGAGTCAGTAACAGTGTAGCAGGGCTGCAGCAAGGCATTTCTCCCCCACTCAATTGTTTCTTGCTCATGAGCCATTAGCTCTGTGTCTGCTTCTTTACTGTCATTCCTGATAGGCTGGCAATAGGCCTTTTCCAACATGAACACATTGATAATAAATCTACAGACAATATTCCTAATTTCAGATACAGAAATGGTACATGCATACAAAATGGGAAAATCCTATTCAGTAGATTATAACTTTTCAAATGATACCTTACACAGAGTATTTGTATAAAGTATTTTCCAGTTATGCATATTCATAAATATATTTCCATAAGAATATAGATAATCTCGTGCCAGGACACACATGTCTTTGGCTGGTGTTATCTGGAATATTCCTTAGGCTTTCATTGTATGTTCAGGGTCTGAGCTTTGCCTGGGTTTTCTCAATGCCATCGAGGGATGTAAAAATTGTGTAAAAATATTAACTATATAACCAATCAAAATTCTGTTAGTTACATGGTTAACTGAAGGGGCTGGTGGGGTGGGGAGAGACTCTCTGTTGCTGGCTCCTGGCCTCTGCACCCTGACAGAATTGCACAATGTAACTGTTAACAGGAGCCAATAAGCATCAGGTTATTGGTTAACCAGTTAAATTCTTACATTCCTAATGCCATTTAGTCCATTTCCAGGTTTCTTCTGTCATTGAGTTTCTCCTATGAAAAATTAATCTTATCTCCAACACAGGGTGAGAGTTATTCCAGAGTTCAGTCCTTGAGTCCAGGGTTTGTAGTATGCAGTTTAGGTTGATTTAGCCAATTCACTACAGCAAATAGTTATGTCGGCGATGATTTTGTTAGTTCTGTCAGCTTTGATGGTGGTAGGGGAGTAAACAGTTCTGTCTCCTTCTTTTATTGCATAGAGTAGTCACATAAAAATTCTTTTGTGATTGAAAGAGGGACACAAACTGGATTTTGTTCCATTAATGTTCTAGTTTTCTGCCTGTGTAATTTGATGTAATTTGCTGGTGAACCTTGGTGATCTTTGGATTGATGCAGTTGAAGGAATCAATCCATTGAGTGGTGATTATAGTCTTAGGAAAGATGACGATCAATCATTATGTATCCAATCGAATGAACAGGAATCGACTTTCTTTGTTGTCTTGACTAAGCCTCTAAAGCCTTCATTTTTATAATGTGCAGCCATAGCCGTACTTTAAAGTGAAAGTGTGGCCATGGTAGGAGTGCTGGAAGAGAGCTCTCCCAGTGCCTATGAAACTGCCTCCATGAGGGGAGTAGCTAACAGCATTGGGAGCCTGTTTACACTAGAGCTTTACAGCGCTGTAACTCGCTGTCCTCAGGGTTATGTGTGTTTTTTCACACATCTGAGCCAGAAAGTTGCAGCACAATAAAGTGGCAAAGTAGACTTACCCTTGGAGCCTAAAGTTAGGCTTCTAAAACCATTATTAAGTGTTTGCCTGGTAGTAAAGATACTCAAACTCTCACTGAAGTCAGAGGAAGCTATTCACTGCTCAGCACTTTTGGAATTTAGGCAGGTGTTCAAATATGACTCAGGAGCTTTAACCAGGGTGGGAGTATACTCGACACGTAAATTAATAATAATATAACTACCATGCGACATATGTTTCATGTTTAATTATTATATTTAATTAATTTCATATCTTTGGTTTCTTAGTGAGAAGCAGATAAAATATGATAACTATTTGGTGCCATTCAGTCTGTATGAATTGGGACTTCTATACAAACAGCAGGACCAGAGAGAGAAAGCAATAAGATATATAGAAACTGCAAAGTAAGTAGAGTTCATGTTTGTCTCTGTACACTGTTTAAGATTCAGAATGAGTGAAGCACTCCAAGCAACAGAGGAATCTCCCTCTCTTCATCTTTTTAAAAATAATTTCACAATAATCAGATAAAGCAACATTACAGTTACTACAAAACTGCACTTGCAGCTTGCACAATGATACATTATATATTATACTCCATATTTAAAACCTAGAAAATATTTTTCAATAAAGTTGAATTTTTAAAGTTTTAAAGTTAATTCTTTGATAGAGTACATCTAATTTGCCATGTGTTTCACACATCGTATGCTGAATTGAACCACACCAGTATTAAGGGTAAAAATCTGTCTCCTTCCCTCTCAAACTTATGGGTGCGAGGCTCTAGACAAAGCTCTGCTGCCTGGCGCATGAGGAGAGTTGGAGAGTCTGTGTATGTGATCCATACCTCCTGCATGTCATAGAGAGCAATTTAATGGGTCTCCCTACATCAGGGGTGTCCAAACTTTTTTCAAAGAGGGCCAGATTTGATGAAGTAAACATGCGTGAGGGCCGACCATTTTGCCTGACATTCTTTGAACCATTAAAATTAAATGCAAATTAACTATTTTATGCAAAGTTTATTGCAAACGGCATACTTTTCATTTCGTCACATGGATGACAAATCTAAACAGGTGTTAAATCACTCTGCCTTTCATATCTGAAGGCCAGATGAAAAAAAAATCCAGGAAGCTGAAATATATGTCAGGAACATTGTAAAGTACATTACATATTATTGGTAATAAAGGTTGTCTGTCAACTTTTAAGTTCAAAAAATATGAACAGGAACATAACACCAAGTATATATGTTGTGTCCAAATATATTTATAACTGATTTAGATCAACTGACATTAACTGAGATTTTACAATGTATTCATCTCAATACATATGGATTCGTTGGGGGCCATAAAAGATAGATATTGCCAAATTACCTGTGGGGCCGTATTAAACCAGAACACGGGCCGCAATTGGCCCGCGGACCGGACTTTGCACATGCCTGCCCTACATGTTGCAGGGGAGGAGTTCATGGGCTGAGTAAGGATGGGTGGAGCAACTATGGGAGCTGACTACATGTATCTATTCACCGCCTATTTTTCTCTTATTCCCTCCTTCTACCCCCCAGAGTCCCTCAGAGCAACCCAATTACTTAGTGTATATGCTGGAGGAACAACTACTCATTAATGTTTTTATAAAAACAAGTTAAGTGTCTAAATTGTATATGTAATCACTGGTGTCTTCCTAAAAACGTTTCAAACCTAACATTCCTAGTTAAAAAGGTTTTGGATCCTCATAATAGCATTTAATATACCTTGCTGGGTACTTTGGATTTTTCATTGGTTTCTGTACACTGACACTCTGAGTACTGGGTTTTGAGGCTGGCCACATCTTTTTCAGCAGTGTACTAGCATGCTATTTTCCGATAAGCTGGGGGGGTTTTTTGTTCACATGACTCACCTTTTATAAAGGTCTCAGAGCTATTGAAAAGGACCATATAAAGTAAAGGGAAGAAAGTAGAGGGTAGAGAGATTAAATGATTGATGATGAGTATTATTATTATTATTATTTTATTATTTTGCTGATGAAATAATGTTGTTGTTTGCAGAAACAACTATAAAGAATACTCCATGGAATCTAGGTTACACTTCAGGATTCATGCAGCACTTGACAGCCTGAAAGTGACTCCAGCTTCAACGCCTTGACTTAACTGAAGGGTGATCTTTTTTCCATGAATTCAAGTGTCTCCATAATCTTGGTTGAATGTTTTTAAAAAATCATGTATATTAATGAAAAAGAAAATAATTATTATATTTTCTATCATCTGTGATGTAATGTTTGTCATCTTTTTAGGCTGTTTTTTCTTACGTTGCATATACTGTTTCTCTGTGTGACACTTTAAAGAAAGACCTTATATTTTGTTTGATAAAATAATTAATTTAATGTTTAACTTGAATGGGGTATATTTTAAAAGCCAGTTGCTGGTGCAATAAATTCTCATTCAAACACTGTATTTTTTAATGTGAAAACTAATATTGTTTCTGCAGTGAAGCTGTTTGATGATTCTAAGTCATAGTTTCAGCATTCCATGGGAAACTGATTTTCTGCAATGCACTTGTTAGGATCTTTGTGACCCTGGAACACACTTGTTGGCTGCTGGTAGCCTCAGTCACATATTGGGCAAACATCTGAAATGAAAATTTGTGTATCAAAGAAATAATAATTTTCAGCCAAATAATTATGACGGACTTACATTCCCCTCAAGAATGCTAATTTTTGTCTTCAGTGAAATATTTTTACAATCTCCTTCAAGACAAAGTTAGGTACAGCCATAGTTATAGTTGCCTTCCAATGCTATGTTTCATTCCAAATAAGTGATTGCAGTGAGTCCTTCCCACACTTACTGGGTTTCAGTCAATTACACATGAATATACAAATAAATCACTGTGTGTGACTTAATGTCAGGGAGAGGAAAGGAAATGACAGTTTAAAAAATTCTTAATTAATACCTCTTCAGTTAGTGGTTTTTAATGGCATTTAAAGGTTAATTAAAAATATTTAATATACATTTTGTGGTTGGTCTTACTAGAAGATTTTTTAAGATGTCGTTTTCTCTTCTTAGACCTTCTTAGGTGTTGGCAAACTTTTAGTTAAACATAAATGTACGATTCTAGACAAAGGAATTTTCAGAGCTGTAGCAACGGTAAAGAATCCGCTATCTGAGGAAATAGCACGGTTCTAAGAGCTTTGCCTTAGATGTGAGGCCTGAGCCAAAGCCTTTTGAAATCAATGAATTGAAAGACTTCAATTAACTCCAGTGGGATTTGATTTAGACATTGAGGCTGTCTACATTGCCCCCATTTTGTGCAAAAAAAATACAAATGAGGTGAAGGATGGAATATCATTGTGCCTCATTTGCATTATTAACAAGGCTCTGTTTTTGCACAAGAGGCTTTTGCGCAAAAACCCCTCTTTTACAAGAGCCATTCTTCCGCATTTTTTTCAGGAAGAATGGTTCTTGCACAAGAGGGGTTTTTTTGCACAAAAACGGAGCCTTATTAATTATGCAAATGAGGCATAGCGATATTCCAAGCTTCACCACATTTGCATATGTTTTGTGCAAAATGGGGGCAGTGTAGACATAGCCTTAGAGCCTGACCCTGCAAACATGACAATTGTACTTATATGTACAATTCAGTAGAACTATGCATGTAGATGTTTGCAGATCATACCCTAAACATTTAAATGGTACTTACTACCAGAATGCATCTGTTATCTTGAAACTGCATCATGGTCATCTCTGTGTAACTCTTTGTTTCAGTTCAGTTACACCAGAGCTAAATTCTGCTAATTTTAACAACTCAGATTGAGAGTATGCATAATGGCTATTACCTGAGCCTCTGTTTCCCTACTCTCCTTTGCCATACCTCATTTACATGTATGATTTTTTTACAATCAGTTGCAGAAGTTATGGGAAATAAGATAAGACAATCCTTTTAAAAAGTTCTGCAAGCTGCTTAAATCTTATCGACAATTTAATTTGCACTCCAGAACTAAGACAAGCATTGTCTCAACTTTTGTTTGAAAGTGAGAACAATGCTGGGAAAGCACGGGCATGTTCTTTATGGCAAACCAGTTAGATAGCTAACTGAATAGAATGACGCAAAGTGAGTGTGGTATTTCAGGATGGAGAGCAAGACAGTTTTCAATAAGTACAGTTTATGGAGAAGTTGCCAGAGTCAGAATTCATAATTGTAAACAATTTACTACATCAGGAAGGAGGACATTTCTTTAAATGTGTAGTATGTATTATGATACAGCCTGTTCCAGAGTATTTAGGCACATGCATCCTATTAGTAGTAATATCAGTTGCAGGGATACAAGGAAACCTCCCCAGTTTCTTCAATGAAGGCGTTTAAAGTTAACATAACTTATTTTCCCCAGTGAAATTGTGCTTGTGATTTTTTTTTATTAAAATAGCTTTTTTTTTCTAATAGCCTCTTGTTGGAGGCAGCCATATATAATGCACACACAAAATAGTCAGCACAGAAAATTTTGTACAGGTTGAAACTCGCTAGTCCAGCACTCTGGTTCAGCAACATCCATGATCCAGCATGATTTTAGTTAGCTGGATGTTCATTTTATCATGGGTGGAGCCAAGTTTCTCACAGTCCCATAAAGATTTTTTTATGTCCGAAGTCCTGGTTCTCAGTGTTCTGTGCCACTATTTAGCTCTTAATTTACCCATAAATTTCTTCTAAGAGCCCAGTAAGCAGTGGAAGTGTTGGTAATGCTGCTAGACAATATTGATCTGTCGCTCTGGTTTGGCATTGGTCAGGTCCCGGGGTGCCAGACTAAAGAGGTTCAACCTGTGTTTGTTTTGATGCCCTTAGACATCTAATATAACTGCCATTTACAGGTTCTCCTTGCTAAATTCTTAGTTTACTTGTTTTAGACTCTTGAGGGAGCAGGCCTTCCATCATTCCAGAACGTTCATTTGTACTCATTGATAGTAGAAAATGTAAATGCAAGCTCCAGCAGGGCTGGTAGGAAGGATGCAGCAGCTTCCAATTGAGTTGGCCTGAGGTAGCCCATTGTGATTCCATTATAATTTGTACATCATCCCCAAGTTAGGCAATGAGGTTCATGGCTCAGAGAATTATGATGAAAATCGGTGTTGGGTGTTAATTATAATACAGTTTTAGTCTCCTTATTTTCAAGATCTTCACCTCAGTTGCCCATGTCAATAGTATTCTTGAATTTGAGACTTTAATGTCTCTGAGCAAAGCTGAGCATGTACTCCAAAGATGCAACTTGCAATCATTTCAGTAGGCAATATATACACATGTCCAAAGACACAATTAGGCCCTTTGTTTAGACAGCAGGGCTCAGCATTAATGGTAGCATTATGACAAAAGTAATCATCATCCTTAAAGTGACCGAAGATGTGTGACTTTTTTTAAAGGAAAGCAAGTTAATAATAAGGTAAAGTTTCACTTGATTCAGGAATTTTTTGCATTGAAATTATTAGTAAAAATACTATGTTTATGCTTACTGTTTGAGGGTTCATTCTGTCGGTGAAGGGTTGTTTATATGTAATGCATTGTTATTTTTTTAAGCACCGGATTGCCACTTTTTAAATGGAAACTATAAAAAAAACACATTTTAGGAGAAAGCTTATTAAGGAATTATGTTTATATATGTTGCTGTAATGTATATGGGCAGTGGCGGTATTTATACCTCATGGCCAGAGGAATATGTAATAATTAGATTTTGTTGTATGTTTTTAGAACATTTTGCCAACTAAAGAATACAGATTAAAATAATCAATTCCTATACGTGTTAACAGAACTTCAGTTGCATCTCTGTTTTACTACTGGTCTTGACAGTTAATGCATTTTTGTTATTGTCAACTCTTGTACTGCGTAGTTCAATGCAGACTTTTTTTTTCATTTGCACTGGTAGTGCTATTTTCTTGCTTTTGAAATTATTAGGGTTTGCATATATTCAAGATATTGAACCGAGAATGGTAAAAGAATGAAGTATCTTTGTTATTGAAAGTATGTATAAATAAACTAATTCACACTGACACAGTAGGTCAGATTCTGATTTCAGTTGAGTTATTCCAGATTCATATTGATGTAACTGAGAGCAGAATTTGGCCCAGGACGTTTGTTGTTCATTAACAACTAACAGCTGAGCATTATCAGTACCTGTATAGAAAATGTGACCAGAGACAACACTGATGTGTTAAAACACCAGTTCATGCTCACAACTGCTACTTACCAACACTACCTGCTAATTTGCATGTTCTAGAGAAAATCTTTAGGAGAGGAGAGATTGAATGGGAAAAAAGGAAGTGCTTTTTTAAAAAAAGATTGTCAGTTGCTGAAGATTTAGATTTCAAAGAATACCTGTAAAACATGTGCAATTAAGGGAAAACTCTTGTGATTAATGATAATAGTTTAGATAGCTAAATAATGTAGGCTAGGATGTTCAAAAGAACTTAAATTCAGTGAAAATTAGGCACCTGACTCCTGTAGGTCCCTGTCTTATTAAACAATAGCTAAATTCTACCTTTTTCACCTACGTTGAAGCAGAATTTGGCTTCAGCAATATATATTTTTAGAAAAATAAATATTCAAAAGTTTTAAATTATATCTAATGTGGTTAATTATCTCTATAACTATGCAAAATTCTGATATTTCAGTGACAGTTGTCATTTTAATGATACTTCCTCGCAGTTAGTCCCTGATGGCATGATTTGAGTCATAGGAAATGTTATTCAATATCTAGATGCAAGAGAAAGGGCAGGAGACTTTCCAATCAGTAAATTCTATTAGTTTTCAGAATTTTTGTTAGTTAACTTGGCAGACTGTCAAGATGGCAGCTATATGTTCCTTATTATATTTAAGATATGTTTATCATGATTTACGCCTTGTAATTATAGTATATTTTATGTTTCATTGAAAAGAATAAAGGAAGCAACATTGAATGGTTAAGGCATAAACATTAGAAATAAGATCTTGGTTTACTTTTTAGATTTGCCACATGTGCAACTAATGCCACTGATGCCATATGTATCTTTCTAAACTGTTTTAATTGATAGAGCATTAGTAATTATAGCCTTAGTGGGAGAAGGAAGATCCAATGGTTAGGGAAACTCAGGATGCCTTCATTCATGTCTATATTTGGGGGGGGGGAGGAAGGAAATCATCATCTTATGGTGATTACAATATACTTTCCATTTCACTGGCATCTCAGGATGATGTTAAATTGCAACTACTAAAGTTAGACTTAAAACTTTTGGACTTGTTGATTTTTTTTTTAAGAGAGCAGGCTGAGGAGATTGGTTTTTCAATAACTTTTAAAACACTGGCAGAGTCCCAGAAGATTGGAGGAAGTTAATGTTGTGCCAAAGCTTTAAAAAGAATAAACAGGATGATCAAATAATTATAAGCCTGTCAGCATGACAGTGATCCCTGGCAAGCTAATGGAGTTGGTGATAGAGGGATGAGTTAATAAAGAATTAAACCATAAATGGGGAATTAGTTACTACAGATTGGACCTCTCTGGTCCAGCATCCTCAGGATCTGACTGGTTCTGAACAAGGGAATTTGCCGGACTACGGGGAGGTCTCCTGCTACCAGCCCCCAGTCTGCCTCCCCTCCTCCGCCCGCCAGGCTGCCGTGCTGCTGTGGCCCCAGCAGCCCAGACTGCAGCGTCTCTTGGCCTCACCACTGGGGCTGTCATGACTGCCGCATCCCCAGCCCCACTACTGGGGCTGCCACAGCCTCAGCTGTGCTACCAGGGCTCCAGCCCCAGTCCCAGAGGCTCCAAACAGCCATGCCTCTTGCCACTGCAGCTCCCTGCTGGACCATAGATGTTGCCAGACGAGGGAGTCCCCTGTTTTTCGAGGTCCAACCTAAGTGGAAAACTATGGGGATCAGTTCTTGGTCCTGCAATTTTACAGTGTTTATCAAAGACCTGGAATAAAGCATAAAAACTTCACTGATAAGATTGCAGATGTCACAGAATTGGGAGATTGATAAATAATGAATTTATACTTTTTATTGGATTCTTAATCGCAATTCAGATACTGTAATGATTTTAGACAAAGGGTATGTCTACACTAAGTTAATTCGAACTAACGGACGTTAGTTCGAATTAACTTTGATAGGCGCTACACTAGCGCTCTGCTAGTTCGAACTTAATTCGAACTAGCGGAGCGCTTAGTTCGAACTAGGAAAACCTCATTTTACGAGGATTAAGCCTAGTTCGAACTAGCTAGTTCAAATTAAGGGGTGTGTAGCCCCTTAATTCGAACTAGTGGGAGGCTAGCCCTCCCCAGGTTTCCCTGGTGGCCACTCTGGCCAACACCAGGGAAACTCGTCTGCCCCCCTCCCGGCCCCGGACCCCTTAAAGGGGCACGGGCTGGCTACGGTGCCCGTGCC